ACACTCATAGAACTCGACCTCACGGCAAATCAAATTGGAGATAAAGGTGCAGAAGCTCTTGGTGAAGCCTTACAAAACAACACAGTGAGAGAAAACATCACTCTCTATACTTCTCTCGACTTCATCTTTCTTATTTCATACAGACACTCACTGTACTTTATATTCGCTCCAATGAAATTGGATGGGAATGGAAAGGATATCTACAAAAAATTGAGAATGAAAATAAACGCTGTGAGATACATTTATGAGAGAAATTCCAACAGAATGGAGTAACTTTGATTGTGTTCTATTTTGAAATAAAACGTTTTTATTGAAGAAATATATTAATGTTTAGAACGGTTTCTAGTGAGAGTGTGGGTGTAAAGAGCTAGCATAGTCTAGATTCAATTCCCGCTACGGAGATCATCATATGGTTGGATGTAATCTGTGTGAGTTTCTATTGTATTAAATGAAATACTACAACTATAGTTTCGATCTTCTTCAAGGGTCAAATCATCAAGTAGGTTTTTGATTTCTCGGTAAGTTTTTAATAAACAATATAGAAAGGATGAAAATCTTGACGATGGTTGAGAGTGGGTGTGGATGTAAATGTGATATAAATATGACATCTTCAGCAACATTCACGCCCACCACATATTAGTGAATCGCATAGGAGTCGGAGTCGGAGTCAACTAAAATCCTAGCCAATGGTTCATTTTGAACATTACAAATGTTTTGACTTTGAAGTTTTGTTCTTCGATGTCTTCTGTACAAATCTATGTATTTTGAAGGTTGAATCGACTTCGTATTGAGCCTTAAAGACATAAAAGTAAACCGGAATCATAAAAAATCGAAGTAAAATCGGACTCCGATTTTCTTCCATATCACTAAAGGTCGATAAGACGTCGATTTAACCTTCAAAATACATCAATTTGTTCAAAAAACATCAGAGAACAAAACCTTGAACTCAATAAATTTGGAGTGTTCAAAATAAATCACTGGTAAGGAATTTAGTTCACTCGAACAGCGACTCCGAAATGACTCCTATCCAGTTCACTACCACGTACCTACACCCACACCCAAACCCGCACCCACACACTTACACCTGCACCCTCAACATATTTTATTAGGAACATCCTGCTTATTTAATTTAATTTTGTCATTCCGACATCCATGACGAAAATTTTGAATAATTTTTTTGTCGGAAGTTCGTAACAGACATCTGCTACGGGAGTTCGGAATGACGAGGTGGTACGAAACATAGTTTTACCTGTATAACTAAGCCTTATAGTCACCATGACTCTAATGTAAGAAGAATTAAATATCTATTGATCGTTTATTGGTAAGATGAATGTAGTTTTATTACGAAAATCTTTAGAAGTATGAATTAGTTTTTGGCCACAAAAGAAAAAAGCATATTTTATCTTTTCTTTATTCTATATATGGCCTGTAAATGTCGAATATAAAAACTAACATGATGCAAATATAAGACTTTCATTCGATTGTATTCATAGTTCTATCAATGTTAAAAAACAGTTTTTGATGATCAAGTACTGATGTTCTTTATGAAATCTTTGATTATATATCATTAGTACCGAATTATATTTTAACTCATTCTTACTATTTATTCCCATATCGATCATTGAAAATATCTGTTGATAATCAGCAACAACTTCATGTTCTTAAATCGCATATCAGTTTAAATACTCTTCGTGCTATTCTATGTACAGATATTGATCTTTTCATTTTACATTTATTTATTAAACATTTATCTATACATCAACTGGAAACAATTATCATCAAAAGAATAATGGAACTTGGTCGATGATTATGTCTGCTGGTTTCCATCAACTTCGTTATCTGTATGCATCAAAAGAAATACAATTGTGGAATATAAAAGATCTTTCATTTGATTTATTAACTGCACTTCAATATGCGGCATATGAAGGTATAACAATCAATTATATGTTTAATGACAAAGAGTTTTTTAATCAATATTTATCTAATTTAATATCTTTATAACTTCATTTATCAATCATCTAAGAGAATCCTGAGTAAATTAATATTAATTTTCAAGCTTCATTGGATAATAATGAAGACTGGATTCAACAACTACCTTATTTTCAAGTAACAACAACTAAAAACAAAATTTATCGAATATCTGCATGTCCATTCAAGGGTTTATAAAGTATTTCAAACCGATTGAGTGATTTATACTGTAGCTAAGATAAAAAATGATAAATATGTAAACGCGTACATATTTCATCGTTTTCTTTTTGCTTGTGAAATTACATCGAACGATTATTTAATCTTGTTGTAAAGGGCTATATTACATATTGTGATGTAGTAACAGTCATTGGACTGTTCCATGTATACATGTTTTTTTCCTTTTATGTGATATCTTATCTTTTCGTTTTATGAAATATTTCCTTTCGTTCTTTGGCATATTCTAATACGTCTATATATATATACATATATCTGATCTTTTTTTTGTGTATATCTATCTATCCATCTTCAGTACCTTCCTCTCGTTGTTCTCTCCTTGATACTACATTAAGACGTAACACATATAAATGGCGCATGCCATGGATTTCTCGCCACATATAACTTCTCATCCATCAAATAGTGAAGTTCATTGTCGTTTACTTCTTGTCGAAGGAACATGTGGATCAACAACAACAAATGGAAATATTCAAATCACTGCTCACGAAAATAATTTTCCCACACAAACATTTCCAGTGAACAAAGGACTATTTAAAGCATTAATACATTTATCATGTGGTGAAAATCTCATTCAATTAAGTTTTTACAATGGTCATCAGATTTCGGAATCGTATTGGACAGTCAATTATATTCCAGTTTCACAAAATCCTCCTCTTCATCTATGTATACTTGTTGGATGTGATTCACCACTTACATTCGATGACGTTCCAGATTCTAAATATCCATCAAACTTAGAAACGGCTATTAAAAAATTACGTTTAGCAGGATATTTATGGCAAGCCTATACTGCTTCTCAAATGTTTTCAAATGGATTTGGTCACCGAATATTTCGTCTTGACGAATCATATCAATGCGATACACTTAGTGTTGTAGATCAGTCAATTAGAAATACAGCAACAATTCGTATTTTAAAAAGTAAATATACAACTGCTCAAATTCGAGATCCAAATCGAGCACAACAAAATACAAATGCAAAAGAAAAAAACAGTCTCTTTGATATTGCATTAGAAGCTATTCGACTTGAATTTCCAGAAGAAAGAAATTATATAGCAGTATTATTCTTGGATTCACATTATGAAAATAATCTTATTACAGGTCATGCAGCATTAGGATTAGGAAGTATTGATGCACAATATTCCATAGCAATATTTGGTTCTCATACTCTTTTTTCTTGGCCAACAACTTTAGAAGATGTTATTCCATGTTTTATGGATAACAGAGATGTTAATACAAAATATTGTGGTATCGATGGAGAAGGTAATACATATTGGATTGCATGTAATGTTGGTCTTGGTGCAATGATGCATGAAATAGGACATTTATTCGGTTGTCCACATCAACGAAGTGGTGTTATGATGAGAGATTATATTCGTTTGAATCGGTCATTTTCTTTAATTGAACCATCTGGTCCATCAGCTCTTGATGGAAACGAATGTTCATGGCATCGACTTGATATGTTCCGATTTCGAATACATCCATGTTTTGCAGTGCCAACTGATCAATTGTTATCAAAAAGTCATATACAATGTGTTGGAATTGATCAAGGTATTCTATTGAAATCAGAATGTGGTATTTTAGTTATAGAGATTTATCTTGAAGATGATGAATTTGCAAAATCATGGATAGAATATGCTGAAAAATCGCCTTGTGAAATTATTCTTTCGAAAAACGAATTACGTAGTCGAGTTCATAAAGAAGGGAAAATGAAGATTCATATCATTGCTCTCGATGGAATGGATATTTTTATTGATGATATTGACGATTTACTACAAGTTCAACATATTCCAGGATTAGGCAAAGTTTGGAAATCAGTTAAATTAGGTCTACAAACTGGTTCACGATCAACAATTCTACTTCCCACTGATTTATTGATCAAAGTACGAGTTCATTCTGGTCTCGCCTTAGATGGTCTAGAATTCTTTAATAAACAGAAGTCATTTCTCTTTGGAAAAAGAGGTGGATCACCGCATGATTTTCCTATGGAATGTGACGAATTTCTTCTAGGTTTTGGTGTAAGAAGTGGTGCTTGGATCGATGCTCTGCAGATTATTACGAATAAAAAACGTAGCGAATGGTTTGGTAATATTAATGGTGGAAATGAACATGAATTGATAGTTCCTAATCATAATGATTATCAAGTTTGTGGAATTTATGGTGAAATAGATAATTGGGTCATGCAAATAGGAATACATTATTCGATTCGAAAATAATTTTTTTTCCTTTTTTTTTGAAAAATGTATTTCCGAAATAAAAGAGCCGGGGCCTTCTGTTAGATGGTCTGTTCTCTTAAAGTGTGTTTATTATTGAATCATCGAAATAATAAACAAACAACTGTATACATACGTGTACACATAACGAAAATAGAAAAAGGAGAAAAGAAAGGAAAGAACGAAAAAGAAGATATATACGATCTTGTATATAGCACAGATCATAACAAAATGACGAATACGAATTCTAATCGTTTTAATAACGACCAAGTTTGTGAACTTCGAGAAGCCAATCATAGTCCAATCTATGGTTATCAACATTTACCAATCTTAACATTGGAAAAATCTATAGAAAAACTCCTTCCAATTGTTCCTGGTCTTGGAAACTATGTAATACAAGCAAAAGAAAATTGTAGAAAGACATCAACTAATCTAACATTAGATGAATCGGCATCTATATATCTTTATACAATGCAAATTTCATTTTTTTCTAAATTAAATAAAGATTTACGAGCTAAAAATCGAAATGCTTTAAAACCATGGTTTTCTTATTTAAAATTATTAATAACAGCATTAGAAAAATTACCATCACTTGAAATTACAATTTGGAGAGGTGTTAATGATGATGTTAGTTCATCTTTTATTAATAATGATGAAGAAATTTGGTGGGGTATTAATTCATGTTCTAAAGATCCTAATATTGTTGGTATATATGTTGGTCCAAAAGGTACTATATTTGCTATAAATGCTATTCAAGGTAAAGATATTTCAGAATATTCAGCAGTTAAAGATGAAGAAGAAGTTGTTCTTATGCCTGGTACTCGTTTATTTGTTCGTTACAAACCAATGAATTTTGAAAATTGTCTTTTAATTATTCATTTACATGAAGAACCAAAACTTAGATTAACAACAGTTGAAAATCACCGAAAAATTGCATTGGTGATTGGAAATAATAAATATCAAACAAAATATTTAACATATTGTGTCAATGATGCAATAGATTTAAGCATAACATTAGAAAATATGGGATTTCTTGTTATAACAAAATTTAACGTTAATTATGAAATAATGGATAAAGAAATACGGAATTTTACTGAATCAATTCAATCGAATGATATTGTTTTGTTTTTCTTTTCTGGTCATGGTTTACAAAGCGAAAATGAAAACTATTTAGTTCCATGTGATGAAGATTTAGAATATCAAACAATTAGTTTACAATATATTCTTGAACAAATGACTTTAAAAGATCCATTAACAATTATTTATTTACTTGATTGTTCCAGAGAATATTTCTTACAAAATAGATCTTTATTACAAGGAATGACAAATATGAAAGCATTATCTAATTCAATTATTATTTCTGCTTGTGCTCCTAATACAATAGCAAAAGACCAATCAATAAATGATAGAAATGGAGTTTTTACTTATTATTTAGTACAAAATATTATAAAACCTGCAGAAAATATACTTCTTATGTTAACTAATGTTACAAATGGAGTTGCAAACGAAACAAATAATAGACAAATACCATATGTAACAAGTGATTTAAAAAGAAAAGACATTTATTTAGTATCATCTGAATGGAAAAATTCAATTAACTCATCATTAAATCATATTCCATTAATAAAATCGGGAAAACAATTTGGTGGAACAGGTGGTCATACTTTTGATGATTATATAGAAAATAATTTAACATATTCACACTATCTTCGTGGAATGATTACAGGATGTAAAGCTTTACCATTAGATTGGTGTCAATTTTGTTATTCTTCTTCGAATGATAACTGTCAAATGATAATTCAAACAGATATGCAAGGAACATGTGAGACAGATGATGATATTGAACGATTTATTATTAATCAGAATGAAAGAATTAATAAAATTCAAGTTGTTATTGATTATGTAATCCTTTTAGTTGGTGATATTAGAAAATTAGTTCCTTTAATAAGAGGAATCAGATTTTTTACGACAAATGGACAATCAAGTCAATCAATTGATCATCTTGAAGGGGATTCATATACTGAAGAATTTTATGGTTACTTTGTTGGTTATATTACAGGAAGATCGGGTTTACTTATTGATCAATTACAATTTCATTGGTTTCGAAATAACTCATAGAATTAAACAGTACTACACGACAGTAATCATTTTCAATATCTTTATTGTTTTGAATTATATCAGAAAATAACGAGAAGATTACAGGATTTTGGATTTCGTAACTTGAATCGGTAAACAAAAAGGGTATGGGTGTGGATGTGAATGGATGCTCATTAGTTATCTATACCCACACCCTAAATCAGCGTTTGTAAAGAAAAAACAGTAATTGGAGTTGTATCATTTACAATAGCTTTCATATTTACGCTATTATTTCGTACATAGTTCTTCAGTGATATAGATTAGTATGAGAAGATGATTATGAATAATATTTCATTTCATTTTATTTCTGAAAATGTAAAACGATAGAAAAATTGAATAAACATTTACTATTTTTCAAACGTTAAATATTCATTGCAATTACGTGCGTTTCGCTCGTCTTTGTTGTTTGATTTGTTCTCCTTTCCATATTTTTTCATTAATAATCATTTCAAGTTCATTTGATTGATATTGTTTATTATTATCGTCTTCATTTTCTTGTTTATCTTCTGGATAAATATATTTATTAAAAAATGGTGTTTTTTCAATATGAGAACCACGTAAATGAAATAAATGTTTAAGTAATGGTGGTTGTCGTAGATGAATACCTAGACCATCTGGTGTCATTACATTAAATATTACATATTGATCACGACTACATTGAACACTAGCCCAACCTATAGAATAAAAATTCACAAAACAGTTTTTTTAGTAATAGAATTACATACCAGCTGATGATAAAACAATGTCTCCAGCTGCTTCTTCTTCTCCTACTCCAAGAATTTCAATAGTAGGTCCTTGAAGTTGTGGTGGATCTTGAAGTCGACTGTTGATACGATTTTGAGGAACCTATAAAAATAAATTCTCATACTTATTCATATATAAACAATCATTTACTCCAAGTTGATTTTGTTCCAATGCTTTTTCATAAAATTGTTCCACATCTGCTGTTTGTATAACATTAATTGGTAAACGACATGTTGTCATCAAAGAAAGACTTGCTTGAGCATTATTACTAATCTAAAATAATCATTCATTAATAAATAACAAGCAAAAAAGAAAAAGAACTAATACACTAACATGTTTTACATCAATTCTTGCAATACCACCAATCAATATTGTTTGTCCAACATCTAATAAAATATTTACTGGTCGAATCATAGTTGATTGATGATCAAAGAATGTCAATTCTTTCTTAGTACTACATTTATTAAGCATCTCCAAAGAAAATATTATTGTAAAAATTTTAATAAAAACGAATAGTTCGATTTTTACTTGTTCAGGTAAAATAACACCTGGTGTATCATAAAGCCATTTTTCATTTTTATATGAATCAGGATTGAAAGCTCGCATTTTCTTTTGTCGATAATTTATATAATTATGTTCACTTGATTCAAATGAACGATCTTCATCAAATGAATTTTTACCAGATGAATATGTATATGAAGCACCACTTTTTGGTAAATTCATTTCAGATTCAAATCGACGACGCCATTTTACTGTTGATTCAACATTTTCTACAAAATTCACTTTTTTAGAACGATATTATAGAAAAAAACAAAGAGAATTTACCAAGAACAGTTGTTTCATTTTCAATTGAATTATTATTCGCATGAAGAGTATGTTCTTTTTCTTCACGTTCTTTTAAACGTTCTGTACGCATAAATTGATTTTTTCCAGTTCGTAATTGAATTGGAAAACGAACAACATTCATTGTTGTACCTTATATATTAATATAATTTAAAGATGAAAAAAAAAATTTCGTCAAATAGAGATATTTACCAGGAAGATTTGATACAGTTGCACGTTGAATACAATCAAGTGCATGTATATGACAAAGATCAGAATCAATAAGACTATTGAATAAACTACTTTTTCCCGTATTAGTACTACCAAGTAAATAAACACCACCTATAAATTTAAAGAGAAATAAAAAAAAATAGAGCAATAAATAGAAATAAAACAAACCATGTTGTGACCAATACCGAAATACTTTTGAAATAAGTTCTTCAATTCCATATCCAGTTCGAGCACTTACTAAACCATAGTATTTAACAATGTGTTTTCCTAAACCACGTTTTGTACATTCATTTTCAAGACATTTTCGAACATTAGACAAATAAGAATCGCTATCTAAAATAATAATCTTAGGGAAATATTTATAAAAATAAACTATTACCTTTTGGTAATAGATCAACTTTATTGCCGAGAACAAATATAATATTTGGCGATGTATTCTGATTTTCTGTTGTTTGATCAACGAGATGTGACCATGATTGACTTATTGAATTTGGTATATCAAGCAGATCAACAATTAATATAATTAATGCACGTTTTCGTTTAATTTCTGTTAAAATATCTTTATAAACTTGTTCATTAACTTCACAATGTGATATATCATTTGTATATTTATAAAGAAAACATCTTTGACATTGACTTGTTCGTTTTTGTAAATTACTTGAAAGATAATTTTTATAAATCTCAACTGGTATAAAACCTCTTAAATATATATATATCATGGAATAATAAATAATTATACATAAATATAATTTCTTACGATTTAGTTTTATCTGAACATTGAACTGATGCTCCACAACCAAAACAACGAGCTGTTTTATGACTAGGTATTGTTTTATCTTCTGTACCAAGATCAATTTGAAAACGATTTTCTACGGATGGAAAAGCAACAATTGGAGGATGAGGTAAATCTTTTTCATCTTCATTTGTTGATATTATTATATCATCTTTTGATATATGTGAAAAAAGATTTTCAGCTCGACCTGTTGTTCGTGACTGTTGTCGAACAAGATGTTTTTTATCTTCTGATAATTGACCACCAAAACGAACAGCATATGATGGATCTTTTGAAAGCAATTGTCGAACGACAGGTGAAAGATTTTCTAATGAAACAGGTTTTGTTTCAGTAATAATATGTTTTTCATCATTTATTAATGATTGAACAGATCGACGAGCAGATCGAAAACGACGTGCAGTAAATCCAACCGTTATTGAACGTTGAAAAAATGATATTTTTCGAAAACTTAACATTTTTTTTCAAAAAAAGAAATTTTAAATAGTGGATGAATCATTCTATATCCATTAATGGTTTAAATAATCAACCATTAAGGAGATTAAAGTATAAAAATATAATAAACTAATTTCTGATTACTAATACCGTATTATAATTAAATAAATGTCATTATTTGAACATTTAGCAAGAATAAATATATGTTATTATTGTTCATAAGAGGTCGCTATATACATTAACGAGATTCTTTCTCGCCTGTACCGAACAACGAAGTTATTTTCGATCCACTCTCCCTATAAGTATGTTACCCTAGTTATATTTCTTTCTCTTATTTTTCTTCTCTCTCATAGTATAGTCCAAGCTCGCGATTTCTTTAACAGTAAACATGTCTGGATCGGATGTTAAAATTGGTATCAACGGATTTGGCCGTATTGGTCGACTCGTCTTTCGATGTGCCCTTGAACAAGGTGTTAAAATAGTCGGTATTAATGGTCAGTATTTAAAATAATTTTTTTATCTCTTAAATTATAATTATAATAATATTTCTATTTATAGATCCATTTATTCCTGCTGAATATATGGTATATATGTTCAAATATGACTCTACACATGGTAAATTCAAAGGTGAAGTTACACACAAAGACAATAAACTTATTGTTAATGGAACTGAAATCGCCGTCTTTACAGAGTAAATATTTAAAATTAAAATATTTAAATATTTCATTGTTTTTATTTTTTTATTAGAAAAGATCCAGAACAAATTCCATGGGGTAAACTCGGTATGTTCGTTTTTTTTCTATTGGCCTGGAATGATGAATCATTGATATGTTTTTTTTTCCTTATCTTATAGGTGCTGAATATGTTGTTGAATCAACCGGTGTATTTACAACAATCGACAAATGTCAAGCACATTTAAAAGCTGGTGCTAAGAAAGTTGTTATTACAGCACCATCAGCTGATGCTCCAATGTTCGTTATGGGAGTTAATGAAGATAAATATACAGGAAAAGAAACAGTTCTTTCAAATGCATCATGTACAACAAATTGTTTAGCTCCACTTGCTAAAGTTATTCATGAAAAATACGGTATTGTTGAAGCTTTAATGACAACTGTACATTCATACACTGCAACACAAAAAACTGTTGATGGACCATCAAATAAAGTATTGATTGAAATAAAAATAAAATGATTTTTATTTTTTATTTTTATAGGATTGGCGAGGTGGCCGTGGTGCTGCACAAAATATTATTCCATCATCAACTGGTGCCGCTAAAGCTGTACGTTCGATTATTTTAATTTTTCATAAAAAGAAAATATTAACTTTTTATTTTTTTATTTAATTAGGTCGGAAAAGTTATTCCTGATTTAAATGGAAAATTAACAGGTATGGCTTTCCGTGTTCCAACACCAAATGTTTCAGTTGTTGATCTCACTTGTCGATTAAACAAAGGAGTAAATAATATTTTTAGTTTTATTTCATTAATTAAATGAATTTTATTATTTAGGCTAAATATGAAGAAATCTGTGCTACAATTAAAGAAGCTGCTAATGGTCCATTGAAAGGAATCTTAGGTTATACTGATGAAGAAGTTGTTTCAACAGATTTCATTGGTGATACACATTCATCAATCTTCGATGCTAAAGCCGGTATTTCACTCAATGATAACTTTGTTAAACTTGTTTCATGGTATATATTGATTGATTTAATATAAATTTTATGTAAACTATATGATATTTCTATTTATAGGTATGACAATGAATATGGTTATTCAAATCGGGTTGTCGATCTTATTAAATTTATTGCCAAGAAAGATCACCAACAATAAGCTCGAATGATCCTTAATATGCTCATGAACATAGATTAATTAGATTTATCTATTTTACTTTCATTTTTAGTCAACCTTTCACTTAGTAGTACGAAGATTTTATTGAGTATCCTTTTATGTCTAGTTTGTATTATCATTTTCATTCACCTGTGAAAAGAAATAAAAAAAAAAGTCTATATATATATTTTTTTTTCTTCAAATAAATGTAGACGTATTTTTATTTTGCATGACTAAATCCAATTAATAGTATTTACTCTTAAAAAAAGCCTTGTTATTTATCGTATATATTTGAATGAGATTATAGAAACGAAAATGTACATTAACTAAACACTACATGAACTAGCACATCGCCAACATCCACTACAATCTTTATCTTCTAAACATGTCATTTTTTCATATGATTTTCTTGTATAACACCATTCAGGACCAGTTATAGATGGAAAAGCACCAGCACATCCTGACCAACAATAACCTTTATGACATCCAAACCATTCTGTACATGTTGTAGCACCATAAGGATTTTGTAATGGAATATGTTTTCGTCCTTGTTCAATAACTGAATTGATCTGTTCAGTAGTTTGATTATTAATATTAAATAAAGTATCATTTATTAATTGACGTATTCGTTTTTCTGTTTCATCAATTAGACGGTTTCCACGATATTCAATTTCTTGTAATAATTCATGAGCTCGACGATTCGTATGTTCAATAAATATGTAAATAACTAAACTAAGTATCAATATCGAACTACTCGTTTTTATCATTTTTATTATCTATCATTTCACCTTGAACTGAAGTCTTAAATATACTTTTCGTACGAATTTATTTCTTATCAATACGCACCAAATTACCTTTGATGATATCACTGATTTCTATTTATGACAACATACGACAAAAAGAAAAGGCGTAACCATCAATTACAAAAAAATAAGATGCGCTTATTGTGAATCCAATCAGTCATGGTTAAATATGATAATATATTGATCATTCTTTTTATGTCTAGTTTTCTTTCATCATAACATCATATCAATAGCTTGCAATAAATTTCGTATTATTTTTTGTAATTCAAATTGTAGTTGTTGAAAACATGACATTAGATTTGTTTATGAAATTTGTTGGCTTGTATTCTCAGCGGTCTGAATATTGAAGTTACTTTTTTTTTCTACGACTCATCTTGAAATGAAGAAAATTATAATAAGAAATGTAATATATTGAAAACAACAAGCAAATGAAAAGTAATGCATAGAATATAACCAATCAATTTATATATCTATCATACTATTGAATTTCATTCTGTGTAGCTTATAGTTGATACATAGTAATACGTAGTATATATGTTATTGGAGTGTCTCTAAAACTATTCTTGAATAATTGATATCAATACCAGTGAATTATACGATACATTAAAAAAATTATGATTCATATTGTCGAATAAAATAATCCAATGGTGTCATCTATATAATACATGAGAAATTATAGTGAAAAGTATCAAGTTTTGTATTTGATTGGTTTAGTAAAGAATATGAAAATCGATACTGTGTGAGGAAAAAAGGAATAAACGATCTCTTTATCGATCATACATACAGAATTTTGTTAATTTGTTTTCATTTAAGACAGCGTATACATATTTTTGATTGTTGAAATCATAAAAAAGCAAAAAAAAATGAATATCGAAGAACTACGTATTTATCCAATAAAATCATGTGCTGGAGTTAAAGTTCAAGAAGCTTTAGTAACGAAATATGGTTTAGCACTTCCATCAGATCCTCGAATCTATGATAGGTATTATTTGTTGATCTCTTACAGTTAAATTCAAATTTATTCGAACATAGACGATGGATGGTTGTTAAAGATGGTCGACAATTATCACAACGTGTATTACCTCGTATGGCACTTATTCAACCATCATTTGTTAAAGATGGTCTTCTAATACAAGCACCTAATATGCCTGATTTATTTATATCAGTTAGTACATTACCAAAAGAAATTATGCATTGTCAGTAAGTTATTTTACATTCTAAATATTTTCTTCAATATTTAATTGTTTTTTAAATATATAGTTGTTGGGATGATCCAATTCTTGGTTTACGTTATGATGATAATGTATCTCAATGGTTTCGCACATATTTTGAAAGTGATAATGAAATTGATTTAGTTGTATTTGATGAAAAACAATTTGCAGCACGTCCAAGTAAAGATAAACCTGATTTTCCTAATGTGGCAAAGGATCATGATGTAGCTGTCTATCATGATATATGTCCAATGCATGTATGTACATTAGAATCTGTTATTGATCTTAATACACGATTAGAAAAGAAAATTAAAGTATGTAACTTTCGTCCAAATCTTATTATCAAAAATTTGGATAAACCATATATGGAGGTAAAATAAATTGAGACAAAAAATGAGACTTTGAAAGATTTTCCTTTGTTATAGGATTGTTGGAGAGAAATTGAAATAGGTGAAGTTAAATTAAGATGGATCTCACCAACTTTAAGGTTCAGAATGTTTTTTAATTGAATTTTATATTCATGAACATGTTTTTTCTTATTGAAGATGTCTTTTGCCAACAGTAGATCAAGAAACTGGTATTAAAGATCCCAATCAAGAACCTTGGAAAACATTAAGACGGTAAATTTATATAGTTTGTGTTTCCTAAAATAACAATAATTTCATTTAGTTATCGACTTAAACCTGATATATATGGTATCAAAGCTTTGTTTGGTATTTATTTAGGACAAATCGATGATTCAAAAACTATTTCTGGAACTATTCATGTTGGAGATTTAATCCGTGTTACAAAAGAAGAACCTGATTTTTGGACAAAAAACTGAATGAACCTTTCATATTGAACCTATGTTAAAAAACCGATGACCGTAACTGTTTCACAAAAACTATTTTATATTTTTGTTAAACTATTCAACTTTTAGTTGGAATATTTTTGTTCAGCTTTATATTATATTTATTAATAATAAATATATCTATAGCTATTTACGCATGCTTTCCTCTTCGACATTCATATCTATGATATTATTTTTCATTTGATACTAAATGATACGAAAAAGACTCAATCATAAAAATTATCAGAGTTTTGCATTCTTTTAAGAAGAGTAATAGAATCTAGCTTATCAAAATAGGAAAGGTAAATTTCAATTAAACTACCCAACGATGTGAAACTAGATAATAACAACAGTTGTGGAATTTTGTTATGATATTTCAATAAATCAAAAAAACTTTGTATCCTTGAAAATGTAATAACAATGTTCAAGAAACCAAGTCAAAAAAATCACAAAACAAGTGTCAACATTTATTTTATTGTTTCAATAGTTGATGTTTTTGATTTGTTCCTAAAACAAATAGCTCAGTATACATTCACACACACAATTTTGAATAGATTAGGAATATTCACTTTACTAGTAGATTTTATAAAATCAATATCGTGAAATACTAAAACAAAAATAGTTCTTTTCAAATTTAATATAGAAGCAAAGAAAAATATTTTATAATATTTAAAATTTTACTATTGTTGCTTCATTACAAAAAAATAACGTCTCTGTAGGAACATAAGAGGCAATTTTCTAAAAAAATTTCCTGATTTAGAAAATATGGATTGGCAATCTTAATTATACTGCCCTCTGTATTCATTTGTTTATCCACTGACTCCTTAGAACAAAATTTAACTAGAAATAAATAGAAAAAGTATTTCAGTTTTTGTAATGATCTACAGATGATACAAATGTGTTTACTGAACATGCAAGTGAATTAATTAGCTAATTCGTAAAAGTTGTTCTTTGTTTTATGATATCTGATGAAAAATCGAAACACAGTTTAATCAAAAGAAACTATTACATATAAAGAAAAGTATTATTTCTTTTTCTCTTTCCGCATTCGATGGTTGTAATTTCAATTCTTTGATAACGATTATATAAACTAAAGTCATATTCACTTCACTGTTAGCCAATTATTTTTTGTTATTGTTGTTCTGTTCGTTTTGCATATAGTACATCATGAATACATATTGTTCGTCAAATGCTTAACAAACGATATTAAAATCGAGAACTGAGACAAATAAAGAAAGAAAGTAATAATACAATTTATTTGAACAATCCTAGAAATAAAGTTTAAAGTGTAAGGCAGTGAAACATGTTTTGGGTATTTTTGTTTATATTAGTGCTTTCGTCTTGTAATTGTATTCTTATCCCGCAAAATAGAGAATAATATAATGATTGCTAATGTATATACGAAATGATAAAATCAATAGATTATAGGGAGTTTATTGTAAATACTGCAGATATATCATAGCTTTGCGTGTAAAATGATCTCATTTTAAAAAAAGTACACAGATGAATTCAAGTTTAGTAAATCGGAGATTGGGAGAGCATGTTGATATTACATAGATTCTTGATTTACACACATTGCATTGATGTTATCCTTGTACTAACACTCAGATTCACATCGTTTACGTTGCCGTTGTTTTTGCCCAGGAAGATGATACAAGTGATCTTTCAGATTACTTAACAAGTAATATTATCACAATCAATCAAATTATTCTAGAGGAATTAGTTGTAATTTTCAACTTGCCATGATCAATTCTTAGAAATGTTGACCTTAGACATTTTTTAAACTCATTAGCTCCGAACTATAAACCAGCTTCGTCATGGTACTCTATTATATTATGATTACCATTATTGCTAAATATAATCAAGATATGAAATTAAAGAAATTACATGCTAACGCCCAATCATCTATCCATTACAGTTGATTTATGGATCGACCGACGAACGCGAGCCTTCATTGGTGTAACAGGTCATTTTCTTGATTTTGATTGTGTTTCACATGCTCTTCTCTTGGACTTTTTACAATTTAAATCCCCGCACACTGAAGAAAACATACGCAATACCACCAGAAAAAATTTAGATAATTTGAAGGTAAATAAGATTCTATATTAATGACCCAATCTAAATAAATTCAATAGATGATTTTTTAACATAGCTTAACGCAATACTGCAAAGATGAGTTTTTTTCGATAAAAACGACGCGCTGATTGCTGTTAATATGATGGACTTTCTTTTTTATTAGATCAAAAATAAAGTACACTGGATTATAGCAGACAATGCTACTAATATGATCAAAGCTTTTAAGTTTGATTTAAATGTAAACGATGGTTCTGATGATACTCAAGGTGATAACATCGCGAAACGGTTATGATGTTTTGCTCACAGACTGCAATTTAAGTTATTCAAGATGAGTTGAAGATTTTAATATAGTTCATGGAAATCCTTATCGAAATGTCTTAAAACTTCACAAATCAACTAAAATGGCTGATATTCTGGAAGATCTGGTAAAACAATAAATGGATTTAATCCCTAGTTGACAATCTTGCTTCTCCTCCTTCCAGATTCTTGTGGACAGAATCTTAGATGGCTCGCCAGATATTATTCTAAAATAGTTATTTAGAAAAATAATAATTAATAAAACTAACGTATTTAGATAAAAATAAACAAAGCAAAAAATATTAAAGACGTTTCATGTACATATTAGTTGAACTATTTTATTTATTTTAATAATTCATAACATTTGCTCGGAGTCGTTTTCTGTATATATGGTGTTCGCATCAATAACTGATTTTGTCGCCTAGTAGTTATTTGAAAGTTTGAAATCAACTATAATTTGAGTCAGCCAAAAATCTCATCTACTTGCCTCTCAAAAGGAATCTGGTCTGATAATTAGGAAAAACAAAAACTTGGAAAGAAATGAGATAAGATTAAAGATTGGTGCACGTTAGCGCTGGATATAGTTCATCTGAAAAAAACGAATAATGTTTATGACAGGAAAGGAAAGAAGATGTGTATATCTCTCATCAAGTATATGGCGTATATATTGATGAGACCACACCATATAACAAGTAAGATAATGGAATCATCGATGATGATCTATCGATAAAAGTGCAGTCATTTATTGTCTGGTCGAGTTTGTGAAAAGCTATTTTTCTTTTATTTGTGTTTTGCACATTAACTCTGGCCTAATGAACTTAAAGCAGTTAACAAAAAAGACATTTAATTTTATGAAAGAACAACAGTATTTTCCGATGTACTTTTTCCTAAGAACAATACTCTTTGATACTCGAACAAATAAAATTATTCTTATCTGATACGATGTGAATAAAAGAGAGAATCAACAAGTGTTTGATTTCTCATCGACTACTATCATTCTCTTTTGATTCGTATAAAAGGTCTAACAAAACAAAAGAAAAAATCATATAGAAATGTTTTATCTTTTCTTCGGTTGTTTTCTGTTGTTTAGTACTGTGAATTGTCAAGCTAGTGGTATGTAATAGTTTCAATTAATCTTTTAAAGAGTATGAAATTGATATTGTTAGGTACTAGTCGTGCTTGGTCAGGTGCAAACTCCTTCTTTGCATGGACACTTCCTCAAGATGACCAAATCACATTAATTAATACATTACGTGCGAAAAATGTTCGTGTTATTCGAATATTTTTAGCAACAATTGATTCTGGTCAAGCAGGTTCACGTGCGTTAGCAGCTAATGATATTGAACGAAATCGTGTTGGTTCACCCTATACTGATAGTGATATGCTCGTACGTGTTGATCAATTTATAAAAAATGTTGATATTTATGGTGGTGGACATATTAAATTAATAATAGCTCTTCATGATCGTTATTCATTAGGATGTTATGCATATAAAGCTGATGGTTATGTATCAAAATATGGTATTCCATCAGCAAGTGCATGTTCACCACCTAATGATGCATCAAAATTCTATTCAAATGAACAAGCTAAGAGCGATTTTGTTGCTCGTTTGAAATATTTACTTGATCATATAAATCCACATTTTGGTCAAAGATGGGGATCATTAAATCGTATTATATTCTCTTTTCAAACTGAAAATGAAAGTCAAGGTCATATGTCAATTCATAATGCACGATGGATGTGTGATATAAATACACAAATTCGTTCATCTGTAAATAATGGTATACTTCTATCGACTGGTGGTGATATTGATTATGGTTTAAGTCTTCGTCTTGAAAATTTTCAATGTTCTGCACTTGATTTAATATCTTTACATGATTATTCAATGAATGGAGATTATTCTCGTGGAAAATTTCAAGAAGCTATTCAATTAGCACAACAATATAGAAAAAGAGTTTATATTGAAGAATTTGGTGGTAAAGGTGACACACAAATGGCTCAAGCATTGAACATTATTGGAGCAACAGCACATCAACTAGGTTTACCATGGTTAGTATGGCAAGTTGTACCTAATGCAAGATCAGGAGATTTCGAATTTTTTACTAACGATCGAACAGCATGGGCTGCATTTGAACATCAAGCTTATTGGGCACAAATGTCACCATCACCATTTCAATGGCCTGAAATTTGGAGTTGAAAAAATTGAATTTATTATCTTTTTTCTTGCATAATAATAATAATTGTAAAAAATAAATATTTGAATGAATTTTATCTACCACTTATAGTCTAGTTTAATTGAATTAATCCAATCATTTGTTCATTTTTCTTCATATATAACTACTATGAATGAGATTAATCCCATTATATGAATATATTCAGTTTAATCACGAGATGTTCTCTTCGAAACTTTTGAAAAATTAAGAAAATCTTTAACTAATTATTATTTACTTTTTCATTCTTCTCTATCAAATTCTAAATGTATTATCTATTTTATTTTTCTATATCAAATAAATCTAGTTATTAATAATACGTCAAATAATTCTTAATAATCTAAATCTCAGTTACCTTGTCTCATTAAATGTTTCACAATCTTTTCGCTATCAGAATTATCATGCATAGAAAAGTCCTGCGTCATAAAATGTCCTTAAATGAGAGAAATAAACTTTTTTGCATTAGCAATTTATACATTTCACTTCTACATAAGTTTTTGTCTATATTTTATTAAAAGCTTGGCACTAGTTTATAAATAGACAAGAAAATAAATCATTTTTAATACATCGAAGACAATAAATTTATTTTTAATATTTAAAATAGAACAATTCGTTAATTATCAAATGATAATATTCCTTTTCATTCTACAAGAAGGACAAGAACATTTTTTACAAAATAACATCGTTTTTAATTGATCAGTCTTTATTGTTGCTATATAAATAAATGGATTTAAAATCATTGAAGTTTTAGCTGTAAATGCACATATTGTCATTATTATTGATTGTTGACTTATAAATTCTACATTAAATAAATAAAATAGAGCAACAATCGCATATGGTGTCCAACTAAGTAAATATTCACTAATTAAAAATGTTGTTGCTAATGCAAAACGTCGATCAGCTTTTAAACGATTTACTCGTGTAAGTTGACTTGTTTGAAGACTTTCACCTGTTCGACGAAGAACTGAACGTGAACTACCATTAACAGAATTTGCTGATACACGAGAATCTAATCGTTCTGAATTGATTGTTGTACTAGTATCAGATGATGATGAAGTACATAAAGTTGATTGTTGTTTTTGTTCTGATACATTTAAAAGCATTTGTAAATTTGGTTTTGTTACTGCTACGGAAAGTAAACGTCGAATAATATAATAAACATAAATATTAATCACAATTAAAATAAGTAATGGAATAAAATAAACAAATGAAAATGTTATAATAAAATAAATAATAGAATGAATTGATCGATCAAACCAATTTAATCCACAATGAAAACCAATTCCTTCAGGAATATATTCATTCCAATGAAATAATGGTGGTAAAGCAAAAACAAGTCCACATAACCAACATATTATAACAGTTAAAGATGAATGTTGTTCAAACCATCTTTTTTTAATATTTATTTGAATAACCGAAGAATAACGAATAATTGATATCATCATTAACATAAACATATTCACACAACCATTTAAATAACTAACAAAACCTTCAAATCGACAATAGAATGGTGAACACCATCGATAACAATAAAAACATTGAACAAATACTGATGGTGATATAACAATAATTACAGATAATGATGATATAATCATTGATATAATTAATGGATAATGACGAGATCGAGCATTTGGATGATATGTTGACCAATAAAGAAAACGAATATTAAATATTATTGCAAATATAGATACTTGTGCTATTAATGATCCAAGTATACGACTAATTAAACATTCCATATCATTTATTTCATGATATAAAGTACCAACACATAATGTCATATTTGTATCCATTATTGAAAACAAATGAATAAATCTAGAAAATATTTCTGCTTATATACGGATATGTACTTCTCAGGAACAAAAAAAATGTTTTTTTTGATACGATTTAGAAGATATTAGAAGAGAAAGACGTCATAAGAAAAAATATTTATTGTATGTTAATGATAAATTTGAATGATTGACAAGGTAATAAAATGAAATCGACAGCACGTTCAACAAATTTGCACTTATAGTATACATCTCTTTGACGATCAATAAGATTTATTTTGTATAGAATGTCATGTACGCGTTTTCGCTATAATATAATCAAAACTATACTGTTGTTTTTTTATAAATCACGATTTACAAAAAGAATAATAGATGACGTGATTCGAATATTATCTTTTATGACTTTCATATACACTTAAAAGAACAGAAAACATTTCCGCTCTTGAAAAAAAGAATGACAAGTATGTCAGTAATGTGTAAGATAATAGAAAAAATTGTTTTAATATTTACTATTAATTCTTATTTTACTAATAATTATCCTTGTATATATCTTTGATTTCATTTATTTTCGTACAGTTGACTTTCGGATATTCGAATATGTGATCTTTCTTTTATAACTATGAGATATTATTCTTTTAATTTATCTCTATATTCATATTATTATCGGTAAATCTTTTTTGTTTTTGGAAAACAAATCTTAATTTATTTTTATTTTCATCGAAGTACAAGATTACATGTTCGATAAGTAATACTATACAGGGATCCGGAAATAGTTGCTATTATATGTTTCATTCTAAGGTAAAAGGTAATTAACGGTTGTGTTTTAACGATATAATGTATTATCGAGATCTAGCTATTTTCAAACTAATATATTTTGTACTTTCAGAACTTGGTTCAAAGTACAATTTCTATAAAACACCTATATTATATCGACTTTTTTAAGAGACTATGCGCACTAATACTCAAACCTGATTTTCTTAAATATTTGAAGCTTCATTTTTATAAATAAAAAATAATACATGAGAATAATCGAGAGATACATGCTTTTTATTGAAAAACTACAAAGAAATTATTCAAAAGAATTCTCTATTTTATAGAATAGCAATTCAAAAAAAACTAGCTTTTACCTATTTATTATTTCTAAACTGATATAAATAATAAATTGTGTAGTATTGAATATAATCGGCAAGTCAAGTAAATGAAAAAGCTCATGTTCATTTCTTTTGTAACAAAGTTATTGAATGACAAAACAACCGAGATTAAAGAAAAAAACTATACTTTGAATAAATACAAAGTGTATCTAAACTGGCAAATCTACATTTCTGGATTATGTCATATAATATAATTAAAATATGACTCAATTAACTATATGTAATCAAATATTTACTCGCTTATCAAATTACCAAAACACATGAATTCATTCATTCATCGATCTTTGAGTCCTTTCTTGCTTGTTATAAATGATTAAAACTAGAACGTACCTCCGTATGAAAATTATTATAAGTCTTCAATATTGAATTTAGTAATTAATACTGAAATAATCCGATGATTATTTTTATAACTATGAGATAATCATCGTTATAAATAATTAATGTCTCTTTTAGATATTCTATTTTGATAAGTATATCATAAACTCTAAGATAATTTATTTCAAATGTAAACTTTTTGCTCAAATGCAATCGTGTGGACTTTAAAAATTCGTTATACTCATTTGATTTCATGTCTACTTAATTTCGAAAAAGTTTGTTACGTGTAATCTATTTTTATATTCTATTTTAATAGTTGATTTACGAATTTGAGTAGGATTCACACTATTAATTACTTTCGTAAGTTCACTCAGTTGTCTGTTGAATGTTGTCATTTAACTATTTATTTTCTGTCTGCATAGTATTTATGTATGAAATGATTAAAAAAAACTAATCAAAGAAATGTCAAATTTGAACTACGTACCGTCTATGAAGATGTTAGAAAGAATGTTTAATAATAGAAAATCTTTTAAATAATTCTTGCTTCTGTTTTAATCTTCTTACAATATAATGAGAAAGTATCGTTGATATACTATCAAGTATATACCTAACAGACAATTTTTTTTAATTTATTAATGATATCTGTTAAAAATAATATATTATCTAATATGTAATAAGAAAATAGTCATGAACTTAGATTTTATCAAAAAAACGATATAAAATATATGCTATTATAGATAAAAGTAGAAAAAAATGTCCTAATACTATCTGACATCATCATTACAGAAAGCAATTTCACATCTCATGGTTTGTCTAAAATAGAGCAAATGAAAATGCTTTTATTTTTGAGAGCGTTCAGCAAGCTTTAATTATTAGTTAAGAATAGGAGAGAATCAAAGAGTTTTCCTGGAGAAAAAAGAAAGAAAAATATACTTACTAATTTCCTTATGGAAATGAAAGTGAAGATAATATGAACATGATATTGTATTATTTTACATAAGTAGAACTTCAAAATATTTAGAAAGAGACCACATTATGATAAATACATTTATATCATTTTTTCCTGGTTACTAATTATTCATGTACAAAATTGGTTATAATACATTGTTTATTTTTTTCTTTTTGAATTATAAAACACCATATCGTTCAAGGATATCTTTTGCTTCCTTTATTAGTCGATGTGTAGATGGTAGTTTTTTCTCCCAAATTTTCAATGATCGTTGTGCATATAAGATTGTCAGTCCATATTGATTTTGTTCAGCATAGAATATACTTAATCGATAACAAACTACAGCTATATGATGATGATCTTTTGGTAATAATTTCTCCAGAATATTCAGTGATGTTTGGTAAAAAGCAAAAGCTTGATCTATATATCCTAACGCATGATGCACCACACCAATATTAGTTAGTGTTTGTCCGATTCCTGGATGATCATCTGGTACAGTTTTCTTATAAATATCTAGAGATTGTTCTAAATAGTATAAGGCTTGAATATAATCTTGTTGATTGATATAAGCAAACCCAAGTCGATTGAAACTTCGTGCAATTTCAATGTGATATTCAGGTAAAATTTCTCGATAGATATTCATTGCATTTTTATAATAGAATAATTCTTGTTGATAATCATGTAATTCATAATAAACACTACCAATACCTGCAAGTGTTCGTGCGAGATCAAATTTCGATTCAGATAATTTAATACGTTGAATATATTCAGCACGGCGAAGAAAATTAAGTGCTAGACTATATTCTCCAATAAAACGATATATTCGTGACATACTATAATAAATATTGGATCGATCCTTATCATCAGGAGACGTTCGTATTAAAAGATGCTGAAAATACTTTAATGATTGAGTATATTCTCCAATATCAGTCCAAAGTATATCAAAAAAAATATTAACATTTGTTTCTTTCATTCGTTCATAAATATAATTTTCATATTGTTGATAAATATGAGCTATTTCCGATGATGTTTTCATTCGAATATTCCAAATATAATGTTCACAATCATAACTAACTGAAGTAATCTCAAATGTTGTACCAATATCAAATAAAATCTCGTTTTCATGAGGGAAAAGACTTCGATTTGTTATATCCGCTAGAATTATATTTGATGATTGAGTATAGTCAATATCAATCGTAAATAAAACATATTGTCTTTGGTCATTTCGACTTCGGCTTGGTGACATACCAGTATGTGGATCGAGGCCACAAAATATTTGAGCTACTTGTATATCACGAGATGATGAAAGAAATCCATTAGTTGCTACAAGAAGTCCAGCACGATATTTTTCAACTTCATCATGGTATAAAATCGAACCACGATAAACATGTTGTGGAAGTTGAGTATTAGATGCAGCTTCAAGATTTGTACATAAATCAGTAATAAAATAACGAAATATATATAAAGTTACAATGTCTCCAATACGAAGAGCTTTATTCATCAAACGAAAAAGAAAACATGGTCGTGTATACCAATATATAGCATCACTGGTATGATATGTTTATTCGAATTCATCAATAATTGCTAGTTCTTTTAGATTACCTTGATAATAGGAACGACATTCATCAATCATTTGTTGTCGAGCATCGAGAGAATGAGGCATTGCTTTGATAATTACTATAAATATTCAATTAGATTGCTTCGAAATATTGTTTACTTACTTTTAAAAAGTTGACGCCATATAAATGGTCCCAATTCAGCACGTAGATTTCGAAGTGCTTTTTCTTCTTGATCTAATACATCAAAAATCGCTTCAGTCTGTTGAACTATTTCTTGTTCAATATCAATAATAACTTGTTGAAGTTTTTTCATCATCGAATTATGTTCTTTAAAAATTTCTACTGTTTTCGAATATTGATAATTATTTTGTATAACATTTAATTTATTTTCATCAGTATTTGAATCAATAATTAAAATAGAATGAACTTGTTCATACTGATAGACTTCATCCAATATATCAAATCCGTGAAGTACAGTAATAATACGATCAGATTTATCTATATTTCTTGTTAAATATTCAATACACATTGATTTTTTAGCACAAAATAAAATATAATCATTGAGAAAACGAAGACGAGTCAACATTGTACTATCAATATTTGTCTCAGCTAACGCCGGATCAAACCAAATGACAGTAATAGATTCATGATTTGGAACGAGCTGATCAGGAGGAATATCGTGAATAAAACTACTATCACGACAAAGTATCATTGATTTCTATTATAAAATAAGATTTAAAATAAAATATAAAATAATCTTATAAGTGTATTGTTAGCATTCTCATAGCATATTATTCTTTTTCTTACAGCTTTCATTTACCTTCATATCATCTTGTATACAATGTTCTTGTTCATCAATCGTCTTTAAACCGTTTTGATCATTTATTGTCTTCAGCAGTGTATGCACCATCAACATTCAGTAGAATCTTATTTAATCATGAATGAATCGACCTATTTTCACTAGAAAATCAGTTCAAATTTGATATTTATAATATGACATGTGTTTTTTATTATTTTTTTCTCATATTTCAATCAATATCTTATCTCTTGCTCATTCATCATGATGGCGTCAAAGTATTTTTTTATCGATTCATATTAAGCCTTCTAAAACAGAGTAATCACGAGCAAAATCGATAAATATAAAATGATAATTTTAATCATGTAATGTGAGAAGGGTACACTGTAATAGTTGAAGGTGATATTATATCAGTCGAAAGTTTAATAATGATCAAGTTGATGATGTAGGTGAATGAATGTCAATTTAATGAAGACAAGATGAATACTTGTTCGCTATTTGTTAAGTATAGTATTAAGAAGAGATAACATCTGCATCAGTATACTCATGAGCTGTCTAAGTCGAGTTTGAATATAAATGAAGACTCGGTTACATGCTATATACTCAAAAATAATTGGTATAAGTTGGACGTAGATTTAGTTTTAGTCGATGAATATAATTCATATGAAGGCGAAAGAGAGCACATTCCTTTTTTATGAGGAATATTGCTCATATGGGAGGGATGATGGGAGTAGTATGTGTTACAGTGATAGACGGATCAAAATATTTGCTTTTAATTTATCTGAACGTTAATGTAACACTAAATCTATCCCCAGAAAAATTTAGCAGTCTTTTTTTTCGAATGGTCATTTATATTCGAAGTTGAATTAGAAAACTAATCGTATTTAAAGGCTTTCATTCTTTATGTAATATAAGTTGATAATTAATATTAATTTCAATCAATACAATAATCAAAAGGTTTCTTATATAAATATTATTAATGAATCATCTGATTACATCATCTTAATTAAGCATAAAATATTATTTTTTATATAAAATCACTCATAAGATTATAGTACGAAATAAAATATAGAGGTAGTAACATAGAGGTTTTTTAACAATATCATATCTATTTAAAAATTTTTTCTCAGGCTTCATAATTATTACTTAGCCTTAGAGATATAAATCACAATTACAAAATACATCGCTCAACAGTTCTGTCGTATATAAAAACAAAGATAGAATCTTCTTAATTACATCTGATTAATGTACATATCTGTTATATAGTAAAAGTTTTCCATTGAGTATAGAATAATTTTTATTATAATATACCATCGTTATTGCTATTTGATAAGAATCAATGTATTTGCGATGACTGAAGTGCTGGTGGTTCGGTGATTGTTGATAAAACATGAAGTTTTAATTTTGATTCATGTTGTAATTGTTTTTTTAATTGTATTTTTTGTTTTTCGATGATAATTAATCATTAAAATAAATGTTAATATTGGATAAGATTGAACACTAACTATACTAACAATAATCATAGCTGATTTTATTGATGGTGAAGAAATATTTGAATTAATAATTAAACTTAAATTATAAAATGTTGGTGGACAATAATATAAACATGACCAAATCATATATAATGTCATTTGTATAACAATTCGATGAAATATATTTTTATCTCTATGACGATTTAAACCATTATGTTTTCGATAAAGACGTATCATAAGAATAATTGTTGAACTAAACATAATTAATTCAGGTATAATAAGACTAAATGTTAACCATATAAGCATAGATATTAATTGTCTTGTATGACAAGGTGCACATGGAATATAATCACATTGTGGAATAAAAATAATTAAAATTGATATTACATATGAATATAAAATAAGACAAAGAATAGGTAGAAATTGTCGACGCCATGAAAGAAGACCATTTCGACGAAATATTAAATAATTACGTTCTAAACTAGCATAAGCTAAACATGTTACCATACCAATATTAATTGCTAATGCATTTGTTGCATAATATTGACAAAGATGACGAGATTGTTCAAATAGATTTAAATAATATCCTGTTAAAAATATTGGGACATTAATAAATGATGATATAAGACAATAAATTAACATATAATGAAACTAAAATTAAATTATTAGAAATAGAGATTTTCTATAATAATTATACGAAATTTTATTCATAGATTGATTTCTACCCTATTCACTTTTTATGACATATCTGTTGTTTTACTTCAACTTTCAGAATATTATAAAATTGCTCAGTTCTAACTAACTATGAACTCTTTAAGATTTTTGAAAGATTTTTATAGATAAACTTACAATATAAGTAAAATAAGTACGAAGATGTGGGTTTCGTAAATAACGATATATACAAATAATTGAAAAACATGTTCCTATAATAATACATGTTGATGAAATTGTAGCTAATGTTGGACCTAGTGCATATACTGATGGTATTGTAGCATTTTCTGTTGTATTAATTAACGAATTATTTGTATCGTTAATTGTATATCTTAAAATCAGTTCTTCTCTTATCATCTGATATATATGAAAAATAGTAATAATAATATAATGAAAATAGAATTTATACATCTGTTAAATATTGAAAAATAGATGTCTGCTCTAAGTCAATGTAGATAATTTATTTATTAATTAAATATTAATACTTGAAAATATTTTTCTAAAAAGTGTAAAAGATCACTGATATTTTCATAGATTTATATCGTTTTAAAAATATTTGTCATTGAATTAACTACGGTTTTAAATTATTCAAGAATATTTGTTTATCAACTTGGAATGATAGATGATAACATAGAGAAATTTAGTGATATTAAATGAATATATATTGTTAAATTATCGAATTCTAAATAGTGGATTGATTTCAATACTTAGTCATTATTATCCAAACATTGAATTTTTGTGTTAAGGACTTGAATACAGATTTTATTTTTTTTATTAATAAATCAATTAAAAATGTCGAGGATAACAAATTCATGTGTATTTTCTTGTAAATAGCAACAACATCTGTTTATTATAGAAAAATAACATCCAGTTTATTCTTTATAAATTGTTCTTGCATAATATCAAACTAAAACTTATGCTACTTCAGAAAGTGACAGATTATAATTAAGAATGCAGCGGTGACGATCAGTAATCGCTATACCAGCCGACCTTATTGAACGAGAACTGTTTGAACCGATGAACAGGATTTGAGTGTTACAATCAGTTATTATTCTCTTAATTTAAAAATCTTCTCTCACAAAAAAATATTCTCGTTGTATAAAATATCACTAACTAGTTTTTGACATTTATCTGTCATCAATATATGCTCAACATTTACCTTTATAATAAGTATATCGATCAAATTTACTACATTTTGTCAATGCTAATGACATTTCAGTTGTTATTGTTATTTTTTGATCTAAAATCTTGATCAAATACCTCAATAATCTGAATATACTACAGTACATAAAACAATAAGATTAAGAAAAATAATCAAATTATAATCTATGTTTTATTTTTATACAGAAAACATAATAGATCAACTTGATTGATACAAATTTCGATTCTTCTTCTAAATCAAATCAGTTTAATTCGACGAAAAAGACACATGATGAATACGAGGATATGTACCTAAAATAAATAAAATATTTTCTAATTTTATTTCATTATTCATTTTTACGTTTGATTCTATATGATTGACATTCTTTATTCATATCATTCGGTAATTTACTTTCATACAATCGAATAAATGTATCTAACGGACACATTGCATTTGAACATCCTAATACATACATATCTATGTATATATATATCAATTATTTATGTAATTTGTTTTACCTGGTAATCGAATAATATGTGCATTTCGACCATTTGTCATATTTAAATATTGAAGTTGAATAGCATATGATTGATCATCTTGAATAATCTTATTCATTCATTCTTTTTTAATTTAATTTAAATAACAAACCTTGTTGATAAAGATCAAAAAATAATGCACTAGCAAATGGTGGTTGATGAACATAATTAACACCAAGAAAAGCAAGAATAGGAGCTATTGATGTATCATGCTAGAATATAGAGAACAAAAAATATGATGTCATATTTATTTTTAAAATATAAACATACACCAGAATAAATTTTAGCTTTTCGTCCGTTTACATTATTTGTTATTAAATTTTCAATATTTTGTAGAATATCACGTAGTAATGGTCCTGAATATTTTTGATATAATTAAATAGGGAATAATAAATATAACATACCACCACGTAATCGATTAATTTCTGATGAATAAAAAAGATGATAAAAACATAGATCTTCTAATTGACGAAGTTGTTGTAAAATCGATGGAGTAACCCATGAAGGAGTTACATTATAAATATCCTACAAAATTTTAATTGAAATAAATTAGGATAAATATCAAATTTATGTCTAACTTCAATAAGAACTGTATCGGCAATATCCCATGCAATAAATATATCTTCAATAGATTGATTTGCATGTTTTTCAAGATAATCAAATAAATCCTAAAAGAAAATATTAATAAGAAAAAAAACAATTTTGTTTACTTGAAATTCTCTATTAAGACTTTGAATTCTTGAACTTTGTCTTAATTCATCAACTAATTCTTCATATCGATCACAAGTACTAATACCCATTAACTAAAAGTATATCTTATTTCAATTAAACTCTTTTTCAGCGGAAAAAAAGAAACAATTATACAGACATGATCTAAAGATCTTGGAACAGTATGCACAGGAATGGGTTGCCATGGTAATGTTTTCGGCCACATATTTGCTAGTGTCAAATCTTCTGGTAATTCAATATTTTCTGATGAAGAATAAAGTCCAACAAGATTAGAATAGGCAGACATAAGTGTTCGATCATAATCTGAACTTCGAATCGTAATCTAAATATATATCTAATATAGAATTGAACATATAAAATGTCAACTATTGTACTTCAGATGCTACATATGTAGAATTAATTAAGTTTGAATAACGTTCTCGAATATATTGTCCTAGAGAAATGTGTTGTAATTGTCCACGAATAGTCAATTGACCAAGACCATTTCGCCAAATATCGGGACTATTAGGATTCGTTGGATATAGATAACTAGGTGATCGTTCACCATGACGAAATATCTATTTTATTTATTGAAAATTAATATATCTAATAAGAAATAATTATCTATTTACTATATGAGTACCAATAAGTCGGTTAGCATCAATATATCTATTGAACGATAGTAACACAACAATGATTGAGTATAGCATTATTCAAACGATTATCATAGAAGATACATAAATTGTAAAGGATTAAATATCTGTACTTATAAAGGATTTCGAAATAGGAGATTAAATGTATTCATCGAAATAACATTTTGACAAAAAATATCTCATTATTGAAGAAAGAAATCTTTTTGTTATCATTTATAACAACTATTTATTGATGATATTTTTCATTTTGAAAAAAATAGAATAATAATAAAATGATTTTTTATTAATTTATTTTGTACCAGATGTACAGGCTACACAAGGAACAGTACTTATTGGTGGAACTTGATTTTTCAATAAACATCCACTTTCTTTATCTGCTACTCCACTTCGAATAAATGTCCATGAACGACATTTTTCACCTTCCAACACACACATTGCACAACAAGCTGGATGACTTCGAATACTTGTTAAACGAACATATCTAGGACCTGGTCGGTCAACAGCTAATTCATATATTCCACCAGGAAATGCACATCGACCACTAAGTACCAATGATGCTTCTTTAAATCCACTCGTACAAAATGGTCCACAAGTTGATGTTTCATTTACAATTGGAATATTTTCTTTTAAATAACAACCAGATGTAATCGCAGCACCTATAGTAACATATACCCATGACTGGCATCTTGTACCTTCAGCATTACATAGACCACAACATTCATCCGGTGATACTATCGTACGAATATGAGCATACCATGGTCCAGAACGATCAATACCAATATCAAAATTTGAACAAGTTTGAAGATAGACTATTTTAATGCAAAGACTTAGAATGAAAATAATATCGATCCTCATTTGATTATCGTTTAAAAATAAAAGAAAAAAAATTTTTTTTGAATTAAAATTTAGCCAGCAAAGCTTTCTTTACAAAATTGATGGTTAATAGTATTTATTCATGGCTTCGATTTATTATGATTAGCTTTATATCTATATATATGAAAAATAAAGGGATTGCAATAGATCGAAATGTCAATATTTTAAAATGAAAAATTTATTTTTTCATCAAATATGATGTTTTTATATATAGACAAATTTTTGAAATATGATTAGATCAAACGTCATTCATTTAATAATAAATAATCTGAATTATTAAAAATTATTCTATATATATATAAAAATTGCTAAATTTAATGTATTTTACTATTGTAAATTTAATAGATTTCTATAAAACAAAAAAAAATAATTACTTTGCACTGAATAATTTATAACGCCAAAAATAACAATCACTGCACCATGTTATTTTTTCTTTCATTCTGAGCACGTGTTTTTGTACACGTGGTGAAACGTGGCCACGTTTATTTTATTATTTTATTCTTTCGAGGTCTCTTATTTTATACACAAATAATGTGTGCATCTATTGAATTTCGTTTATTCGCACCACGTATTGAACATGTTTTTCTTACTGGTTCGTTTAATGAATATCAAGATATTGAAATGTGTAAAGATGTGATAACAGGTGAATTTTTTACCAGAATCAATCTTGAAGATGGCGAATATCTATATAAATATCGTATATCATCTCGAAATGATCCAAATAAAATAATCGATATTATTGATCCATATGCAACTAGAGTTGAAGATGATGATAAAGGTGCAATTTTAAAAATTCATCAAGGTAAAAAAGTAAACGGAAATGAATATATATGGAAATATGATGGAAAAAAATTACCTGAAAATAGAGATTTAATTATTTATGAAATATTTATTGCTGATTTTACCGAAGAAGGTAACTAAAAAAATAGATAATTAATTAAAAAAAAATACAATGAGTCTTGTATTTAGGCACAATTTGTTCAGCAATATCGAAATTAGATTATTTAGCAAATGATTTAGGTATTAATTGTATTGAATTGATGCCTGTTCAAGCATTTCTTCTTGGTCATGATTGGGGTTATACAATACGACATTTCTTTGCTGTTGAACCGTCATATGGTTCATTAGAAGATTTGAAAAATTTTATTGATCAATGTCATTCACGTGGTATACGCGTTATGATGGATGTTGTTTTTAATCATGCTCATACTGATTGTCCATTGAATAAAATTGATTCGACATATTGGTTTTATGAAGGATTTCATCATCCAGAACATCCTGAAGAAACTTGGGGACCTGAATTTAATTATGATTTCGAAGATGAACAACATGGAAAAATAAAACCAGCTTTAAAATTTATTGGAGATGTTATTCGATTTTGGATCGAAGAATATCATATTGATGGTATGAGGTAAGATTTATTTTCAAAATCTTCTATATGATTGATTAATGATTGTTTTATTGCGTAGATTTGATGCAGCAAAACAAATCGATAATTATAAAGCATTGGAACATTTTGATTCTATTGGTCATTCTCTTCGTTCACCATTTTATACAGTAGCAGAATATATTCCAGCAACATCAGATATTGTCAAACCAAAAGGACCAGTATATATATTTTTTTTAATTTAGTACCATTCATATTGGTTGATATATTTTATAGTTGGATAGTGTCTGGCGTAATATTGTTCCGCTTCTTCAAGATCAACTTCAATTTCCTGATAATACTGCTTTTCTTAAAAGATTTCTTCAAACAAGTGAACCAATTCAAGATGAACCGTATATTTATACAACATCAGTCGTTAATCAATGGGCATGTCATGATAATGAACGATTATTATATCATATTCATCAAATAGATTATTTTGACGAAGAAGCATTTAAACGACTTAAAATAGCTGCTAGTTGGTTATTAACAATTGTAGGTATTCCACTAATATGGATGGGTGATGAATGGGGTGAAGATAAAATTATTGGTATGTGTGATCTGATCTTCGACAATCATTGTTATATTTTAACTTAATATTTTAGGTAATGAAAATCGTACTAAAAAAATTAATAAACTTGATTGGTCTGTTCGATTAAAACCGCATCAACATTCGCTTTTGGATTGTTATCATCGATTAATTTCACTTCGTAAATCATCATCAGCTATTAAATCTGAAAATATTAATTTCTTTCATCAAAATTTTGAAAAACACATAATTGCTTATTATCGATGGTCGGATGAAACAAATGAAGTAGTTGTTGCTGTATTTAATTTTTCAATGAAAGATCAACAAAACTATTGTATAACTAATTGGCCAAAAAATAGCCAATGGCAAGAAGTAATTGGTCAAACAGACATTCAGATAAATAAAAATGAACTTGAGATTGATTTAAAATCTTACGAATCGAAAATATTTGTATTTAAAGGATAAAGATTGTTTGTTTTTTTATTTTCTTAAAAGATTATAATCATACGTTAAAAAATAATATCGTCTAAATTGAAACTTATTCATGATTGATATAAAGATCATACTCTTGTTGACATGAAGAATGTGTATGTTCTTCTTCTTCTTTCTTTAATTTATTTAGAACATATCAAAAGTTCTCATTACAGTATTTTAAGTTTTAAAAAACGCTTAATATCGAAGATTATATTGTATCGATACATAAATGTTCAAAATAATCACCATTATTATTTATACAAAGTGAAATGTTTTCATTTCTTCTTCCATATATTATTCCTCATTTAATTGAGTTATTTTATGATAAACTTCGTGTTCAGCATTGTTGGTCGTGTTCCCAGTAGATTGATGTGAATTTAGAGTATGATCTGAAACGTATTGTTGAAATCTTTGATTTATTAAAAACAGTTTTTCTTTATTGTTCACATTTCTTCGTCTCGATATTCACGTTTATGAATCTCATTAACATCATTCTCAGTACTCATATAATTATTGTTAATATTTATATCTTGTAAATTGATTAAAATCGTATATTATATGAATCCAGTTACAAAACTAATTTTCACTCGTAATAAACAGATATAAATACAAGATACCATTATATGTCGCGAGATAGCATATCTATAGTTTTATCTGTTTTATGTATGATAAGTACGACTTCTTCTTCTCATTATTATAGAGAAAAATATTTCATGATCATATCAGATATAGTCTATGTTAGAAATATTACTAATGATATAATGATAATATCTATTCTATTGTATGGTGGATACCAATTTCATGTAGTATAAAAATATTCATCAAAGCAAATGTAATCATCTACTCAAGTTACTAATTTTATATCCAATGTGACATCAACAATTATACACAGAGCTGCAGGATGTGTCATGATTTGAAAAATATTTCTCTATCGAAGATCGTTTCCGTTTCAGCAATGTCCACAGGACGTTCATAGAAATCAAAACTCTTCTCACAACGACATTGTTGCAAATGGATATATTCTGTACCTTTGATTATATATAAGTAGTAGATATATTATTCGTGATTAAAAACTTTATTGAAGAAAAGCTTTTTTCCTACATCGGTATTGGGAAGATGCGGATAATTTTTACGATTATTACAACTTTTTGTTTCTTGATAAGTATATATTAATTGTTTTTATATTCACTGACTACTATATGCAGTCGAATTTTTCTTTTTATTTATAGTGCCATTAAGTACTGCTCAAAGATGGATTCACTGGACAGAATATGAATGGTTTTTACAAAGACGATCAAAAGCGTAGATCTGGTAAGTACTCAATACATCATCTTCAAGGTACATATACAACTTATCAGTTTACTTGAAAGTCTTATAATATTACTTTTTAAAGTCAACATGAGTTTTGAGACTTCACTACATAAAAATATATTCTATTCGTATCAAATACCAGTAGCATTCACATCGGCTATACTTCATATTAGTACTCCTATTCATATGAATTTATAGATTTTTAAAGGCAAACCCCGTCACTAATGGTCAAGAGGTGGAAATAGTTATTCACGATTTCAAGTATACCAAAGCATAATGATTTAATAATCATTACTATTGCTCAAGCATTTACTGTTGAAAAGATGTGCTAAAGTGGATCTTATAAAAATAAGAAAAAAAACATACAGATTTAATTTCATTTGTGACTCTTATGGTACTGTTAGATTCAAATAATACTTGGAACAGAAAATTAGCAATGAATATGTTAAACACGTAATATATCGACATAAGTGAATAGTTAATTTTTTAAAGTATGGTTATTTTCCGAAGACAGTAAGATTGGGTTCTTCATCCCGAAATAGTTATGTCTTAAGTTTATTTATTACATTCAAGAAAATTCTTCTTGATGCTTTTCTTCAATAATTTACCATTTCTTTTTTTCTATTGATCTCGAAAAGATTCTCAATATTAATTCATGAATTGTTTTAATAAATGTCTAGGTTTTAGTTTCAAATTCATACATGATATGATCAAAATTATTGTTATTATTTATAAAAGATGTAAAGTTTCTATTTAAAATTCAACGTAATTTCTCGCATGATTTCATTGATATCTAATTCCAAATATGAAATAAAAATCAAATAAGCAGAACTTTCAAAGTTATATAAAACAATGTTCTTGCAGGAAAATTTTCTTTTTCTTCCGAATGGTTTTGTAATATAATATTTATTATCTTTTCATAGCTGATGTGATATATTTTGTTTAATGTCCTTCGGAAGGCCACCAAGTAATAGTATGGAAAAGAAAAAATGTCTTTTTGCCCCTCATTACTTTAAACAATAAACGACGCTTTATATAGATAGATCTACGTTAATGCACTGAGAAAGATCGACGTCGATAGAATTTTATTTGAACCAATGAAAAGAGAAACAGTCTAGGATGTTTAATGTTAGCCAACTGCATGTTCTTTTGAACTTTGTATGAATGAAGAACGTCGTCTAACTAAAAGATAATTAAGTAGGAAAAAATAGAGATAAGAGTCACGTTATTTCTGACACGAGAACTTTTTTAAGAAACAACCAGTTTTCTTATAATAATGATTAATCTCATAAATCAGATTTCTAAGATCATATATATATATAGTGATACCAAAAGCTCAACAAATATAAAAGACAGATCAATAGCAAAATAAAACTGGAACATTTCTTTATTTATAATAAATAATATTTCAAAGCACAAGGATTTCTAGAAATATTAATCTTCTTATTTTGGCATCTATAGAGTGATTGTGTAGTATTTCATATATATGATCTATAATCATATGTTCCAAATTAAAAATGATTTCTTGTAATTGGTATCTGCTATCATCTATTTTTATTTACTCGTAGGTAAAGTCTATAAACATAAGAAAATTGTTACTTTCTTCATATTCATTTATTGTAATAATAAAATTCATTATTTATTTACGTATTACTATTTGATTAATAAGGCACTTTAAGACTCTATGCAATCGGTTTTATCAAACTTAAAAGATTATATCAAAATTCTTAAATTATTGTTCAGTAATAAATATATAATAATATTTTCTCTATGTTTATTATCAAAAAACATCCTTGGTGAAAGTTAAACTTTAGATTATGAAAAAATTATAAAAATTAATATATGACCGTACTAATAACCCCAAAAGGCAACAAGTATGAAAGCAAACCAACATACAAATAAGAAAGAAAAAACTTTGCTTGTATATTAACTCAATATAATGTTCATAAATACATTATTTAATAGAATTTACACTTACAAAGAAAAGAAACAAAGACACTTTTTTCTTATTTTCAATTAAAATATTCATTAGTTTTTTGCGAGCTCTTTTGAAATAAAATCATTATTTAGAAATATCTCTCCAATATGTAATTTTATATATTTCTTTGAAATTTAGACAATTGTCGTTTTTACAAAGAAATTTATTCATGCATGATCGTTATCAGCTTAGACTATCACTCGTATGTTTATTACATGTGTCTATGTACTTATCTAGAATGAAAAGGAAGAAAAAATGTTTTTTTAAACTTTTCTAGCTAATGTTTAAGCAATAACTAAGACGAAAATTGTAAATAATAGACAAGAAAAAAGAAAAAGAAAATCGTATATAAAATTATATGAACCAATGGGAGACAAGCTTTGTGACTAGATTTTTTCTTCAAGACTACAGGTGACATTTATTCAGAAAATTCTAAATGATCTTTTAATACGTAGAAAACTTATTTATATATAATAATTATTATATTTGTTAACATCAACATATTTAATGAAATTCGAAATTTACTATCAGAATTTTTTTACAGCTTTTTACTTTCTTTCTCGTCAGCGGTTTTAATGAAATGACGAGAATATTCTCGTATAAGTTTATATACATATATCATTGTTATGAGAATTCATCTGTTATTTTTCCTTATCCAAATATTTCTTCTTACAATCTATTATCACATTAAATCAACTCTTACCTTCATCATCTCAAAAAAATAATGACAGAACTATGAGACAAATGAAGAGCATGTTATCGATCATTAGAATTACTCTTCCGTTACAATATTTCTTTCTAAAAAGTATAAATGTGAAAAGTATTCTTATTTCACATGGTTTTTATAAACGGGTACATCTATATTCAGAATTAATATATAAAGTGGAGCTCAGAAAGTTCAAAAGCTTTTCATCGACACAATGAAAAAAGCAATCAATTTATCCTATATTGACAACTGGTAGTAGGTATAAAACTACGCCTACAGAATCCTTTTTTGTGCAATCTATTATTTTAATTTTATTTTTTGAAAAAGGTATATAGTGATCAATAAAATCAATTTGTTAGCGTTGTCCTATAAGGATTTGAACAGTGAAATGCAGTATAATCGATAAAAATATATTATAAAGTGGCTCAAGATTATGCTGTATGTATTTGATATAATAAATAAAAGTATATCAATACTCTCTCTCTCTCTCTTATACTTTTGTTTTACACTAATCGTAATTCAGACAAACAATACCATAAAGTATATGATAAAAGTTTTCGACTTCTCAAGACTTTTCTCTTTTAGTCTTAGTTTCATAAAGTCTAGCAATATACTGTGAAAATTAGCAAACAACGTATATTTCTTTATATTTAAACGTTTGCCTAGATGATAAGTCATGTAATTTATTACTCTTAAATATTAATTTCTAAACATATCTGGAAGGTACGTGCTGACTAGGTACCGAAAGTGACATTGTTTTTCCCTTGAGGTATATTTGTTTTTTTAAGGGGATTATTTAGTCAGAAAATAAGACTCAGGTGATTAAAGTGTGTCAACAAATATAATATTTTTAGAATATCTACTGAATTGTAAATGAATTATTAATAATAATCTATTATTATCTATCTCTTTCTTATTTTTCTCCATGGTAACAAGAAGAACCAAATGCTTTATTTAATTAATATAAATAAAAGATTAATGCATTTATTTCAGTTC